TGCATTGTGCAAGGGAGTGGCTCACGTTTTGAGATAAAGTTGCACCTCGTTGAATTGCCGCATTGAATCAGACACCATAAGCCAGTCAAGTGTAGACCACGTCGTTCTACAGAATGGAAGTGGCAGCCGAATTCAGAGCATTGCCCACATTATGATGACACAGCCCTTCCTTAACCTAAGTTCCGATTCGCAGCACGTTTACTCACCAGCTCCTTGACCGGGTCAACCAGATGCTGCTGGGCCCCAGCTGTACCAAGGAGGAGCATTTCCAGGACAAAGTGAAGCTGTCCCTTACCTTCCTCAAGGATCTGTCCTTCTCCCCACATCCTACCCCATGTTGGAACTCATTTCATATAAATCCCAATCGTTAGGGTTCCAGTTTACCTTTACTGGGCTCCGTGGACTTCCTCTTGTCATGCTTCACCTTCCAACTGCTCCCTCCTGCCCAAGTAGAAACTGCCAAGGAGAATTAAGTGAATGTATGTTCACAAGCAGGAATAGATTCTGAGCCCTAGAGACAGTATATTTTTTTGCAACAAAAATGCGCAGAAAGTAAAACTCTAGAGACATCACTAGAGATTCACCAAGATCATCCCTAGCTTGGGAATCCACGGAGAGCTCCTGGATCTCACTGGCTTCTCACCTAAGTCTAAGAAAATGTCACATTTTCTTCTTTCTTGTACACCTACTCCTCACTAACTGAGATTATGCTGATTGAAAAAAATTCCCCAGTGGCACCTCATGTATACAGGGTGATGACTGAGCCCGGGGTGCCCTCACAGACTACCCTAAACAATATCTCAGAGGCCCAGCAACAACCAGCCACGTGAGGTACGGCAGCCAATGGGGCTGCCCTCTCTCGTTCACCTGAACAATCTTGGTCAGCCAAAGAGGGTGGGGGACACTATGGGATGACTTGGGGTTGTGAGCAGGCAGGTGGAGGACAAGCAAGGCCCAAGGGTGCCAGGAAGGTCGATGGGAAGAGGCAGGAAGGGGAGGAGAGGCTGTTCAGGGCTGTGGGGCTGAAGTGAGCAGAGGGTGAGCTGGCTCTCTGCGCACGGTGGGTGGCAGGAGGTAGAAGATGATGGGAACATCTGACCACTACCACTACCACTCTGACCCTTTGGGGTCCACAGAGATGAGAAGGGGGCTCCTGCTGCACCACATGCATGCAGAGCCAAGCTGAGGGTGCCCCAGACAAGTATGCTGAACAGCAGGGACACACTGACACCGAGTAAAGAGGGCATGGCTCAGACTCTCACATAACACCAATTTCAAACAATAACCTGGTCTTTGGAGTCCAACCATGTTGGTAAGCAAGGAATGGGTATAATAATTATAGTCCTGTGGCCTTGAACATGACCCTTAACTGTCTGTCTCTGACCTCTGGAAAACAGGGCTTCTAATACCTTCCTTGCCAGCGTGTTTGTTTTCTAGGTAATATTTGTAGAGCGCCTACTGTGTATAAGCATGCATTCATTTTCTCTTTCAGTTATTTTATTAATTTTTTCTTTTTCAGTTCTTTTATTAATTATTTTTTCTCTTTAAATTCTTATTATTATTATTAGTTTTTCAATTTCAGTTCTTACAAAACCCCAGTGAAGGAGGCCCTGGTGTTATCAGCAGTTTTTGAGGCTCAGTGAGTTAGGAAACTAGGAGAGATCGCATGACAGCCAACGATGGAACTATAGTTTTATAACCCAATTTCTGAGGGCTTGAGAAAGCTACCAAATAGTATCAATTGCCAACATACTGCGATTGTACAAAAGAAAGCACAAAACCTCAAAAATTTCTTTTTCCTCGCCATCTGTGGGTCAGCTTAGAGGTTCCTCCTATCTAACTGAGTTCCGCTGACTCTGCTGGGCTGGCCCTGTGGCTGCATCCAGTGAGTAGGTCAGCTGAGGTCCGGTCGAGGATGGCCTTGACCAGCGTGATGCCACCATGTGTCATACCATTACTTATCCTCCAGCAGGCCAGCTCAGGCCTATTCTGGTGGCATAAGGGGGGTCCAAGAAAGCCTAGACATGAGCAAAGAATTGGGGAACCCAGGTGTAGAAATGGCATGCCACTATCCACTGTCTTCTTGTGACAAAACAAAGTCACAAGGTCAGATATAATCCAAGTGATAAGGCAAGTAAACTCCACCCCTTGATGGGAAGAGCTATACAGGCCATTGCAAAGATTAGGGGTTCAGGTAGGTGTGCACAGTGCATTCAGTCTATGACAGTGGTCAGTGCTCTGCAGCTGTGATTGTGTCTATTAGTAGTGTTATTTTTATAACCAGGACACATACATAATGCAGTGCAAAGGAAAAAGTGCTAGAAACTTATGAGATGCAAATTATCCATCAAACGGAACATGGGAGGATGCCATAGGTGCATCTTCCCCCCCTTTGTCATTAGCTCAGAGCTGAGCTGTGTTTGACTTATCCAGAAAGAGTTTCATCTGGGGCTGGGGGAGGAGCTGTATGGTCAACTGTATAAATAAATACAGGCAGCACCAAAGAACTAGAGGAAAGTTGTGTGTCTCATCGGTGCTATACTGCACCCTGACTGGCTCATATCTTCCCTGTGACCCCTCTATGAGGGGATGTCCAATTGTCTACAGATGGGCATTGGGTGTCTGTGGGTCTCCACTCAATGCCTCCCCCCATTCTCATTGGGTATGATTTTGTTCTGGGCCTTAGATGTCTGATACCTGATCCCATCGACACCTCAAAATCACACAGGCTCGTGTGCTTCTTCCATGTGAACTTTGTTGCTTCTGAGCTAGATGGTCATTTGTTTATTTTCAAGCCTTTAACACCCCAGGTGCTATATCTTTTGATAGCCCTGCACCATCAGCTTTCTTTACCACATTTGCTTATGCACCCATTTTGTCTTCAGCGATCATGTTGGGAAGGTGAGCATCCCCCCATTATCATGACCTCAGTTCTGCCTTACAAATCAGATTAGATCAGAACATGCACACTGCTACAGATAAGAGCCCACAACACAGAGAATCCAGGATAGATAAACCCCTCAAAACCAACAAGGAGATTAGAGATACCAGGAGGATTAGGGGAGAATGGGGGGGAGAAAAGGGGTATCAATCACAGGATCAAGCTATAACCCCCACCCAGGGGGACAAAAAAGTGGGTAAGGGGCGACAGAGGATGATGTAAGATATGAAAATAATAATCTATAACGTATCAAGGGTTCATGAGGGAGGGCTGGTGGTGGAGGGAGGGAGAAGAAATGGGGAGCTGATATCAGGGGCTCAAGTGGGAAGAGAATGCTTTGAAAATGATGATGGCAGCATTTGTGCAAATGTGCTTGACACACTGGATGAATGTATGGATGTGGTAAGAGATGTAAAAGCCCCCAATAAAAATAAGGGAAAAAAACCTAAAAATAAATAATAAATAAATAAATACAGGCATGCATAAATAAGCAAATAAAAAATGAAAGGCAGCTATTATTGATGGATAAAATGCTGTTTGAGGATTTTTCCAATGTGCTTCCATGCTAAATCTGAGGTACTGAAAATTGTAAATAAATGAGAAGCCTTTGGGAGAAATGGGCAGTTTCCACCAGGAGGCTTCACAAAGTTCCTGGAATAAAACAGAGTTAATTGATCGTGGCATTTTTCCATGAATGTTTTCGAGCCTCCCTTGTATATGGAAGGAGGTGACTGTTTTTTGCTTTTGTTTTGTTTGTTTTTTTCACCACGAATGGATTGAATGGGGAAGGGCATCAAGGTGCTGCATACACCTGGTGACCTCTCAGTATGGTCTGTGGACCCACAGCCGCAGCTGCAGCAGATCGCTGGTTAGAACGCAGGCTCTCGGGCCCCTCCTGATTCAGAATCTGCATTTGGCAAGATCCCCTGGGGATTCATAGGCACACTAAAGTCCCCTGAGACCCAGGCCCATAGTAGTCTGACGTCGTTCCAAATGTCAAAGGCAGGAAATCCAAGTCTACCTTCTGGAAAGCCAGGTTTCCAAGGCGTAGCCTCTTGACAGTGCCACAAAGCAGTCCACATTACAGGGTTTTCAGGAAGAGAAGTCAATGAGAGAACGTGGTCGCAGAACCGAATGGGTATGAGTCAGAGACTCGGGATTCCATGCTAAATCAGAGGTGTGGAAAATCACAAATAAATGGAGGCACTTGGTGAGGAAGGGACTGTATACACGAGAGGCCGTCACCAGGTTCATTGAAAAAAATGGAGCTGGGTGATAGTGGCATTTTTCCATAAACGTGTTGAAGCCTCCCTCGTATATAGAAAAAAGTCATTGCTTTTTTTTCCCACCTCGAGTGGATAGGGTGGCATCCCCTCTGTGTTGAGTTGGTATGAAATGCAGTGTTGAACAACCTGCAGGCACAGCTGCCCCTGGGCTTTCCTTCCAGGTGGAAACAGGTGCTTCTCAAGCGTGGGTGCACAAGAGAATCACCCGAGGGATTAATAAACATAAATACGGATGCCCGGGCTCTAACCTCCACAGACTAATTCGTTGGTGTTCTGGGGCCCTAAGTTTGGGAATTTTAAAAGCTCTGAAGGTGATTTGGGCCCCGAGTAGCGTGTATGACCCGTGTTTGACCAGTCCCCTGCGGTCAGTTCAAACCCACCTCGCCGACTGCCAGACAAAGCAGAACCCCTCCACCCCTCACCCCCACCCTACTCCCGGCCACTGAGTCGATCCTGACTCAGAATAGCTCCGTGGGACAGAGTAGAACTGCTCCTGAAGGCTTCTGGGACTGTAAACCTTTAAGGCAGGAAGTAGACAGTCCCCTCTTTGAGCCTGACATGTAACCTTCTCTGCTTCTCTAAAGATTACATCCAAGAAACCCCGGGGTGTTCGCTCAGTTCCATTCTGTTAACACGGGGCTCAGAATCCACTTTGGTTTCAGAGACGATTGAATGAGAGCCCGGCCTGAACCTTCGCCCCCAGAGCAGCAGCGGGGGTCCCGTGTGAGAACTCAGTCTCACCTTGTCATCCCCCTCCTCCCTCCCTGCCGCAGTGCTCCACCACGTGCGGGCTGGGGGCCTACTGGAGGAGCGTGCAGTGCAGCACCCAGAAGGACGTCGACTGCGAGAACACACTGCGGCCCGAACCTGCGAAGAAGTGCCACCTCCGTCCCTGTGCCGGCTGGAAAGTGGGGAACTGGAGTAAGGTAACGGATCGGACTCTGCGGTGTCCTCGGACACACACACACACACACACACACACACACACACACACACACACACAATGAACCAGGCCCTGCGGTGTCCTTGGGACACACGTATATACGCATCTGCCCCAAATAGGATTCTCTCTTCTCTTCCTGCCTCTCCCCCATTTCCTCAGTCGGCAAGGACTCGATGGCAGAGAGTCTGAGTTTGAGAAGGTCCCTGGGTGACAAACGGTTAAGGCACTTGGCTGCTGACTGAAAAGTTAGAGGTTCAAACCCTCCCAGTCCTAGGGATCTGCTTCTGAGAAATCGGCCATTAAAACCCCGGTAGGGCACCATTCTGCTGGGAAGCGTGTGGGGTTGTGAAAGGTCCACTCAGTGGACACTGGGTTTGGGGGTAGCACTCTGGGTGGTTTCATAGATTCGGTCTCCGACCTGTCATCAAATTCTGTTAATTTTGACAACTCCGTGAGAATTCTGCTCTAACACCGGTAGCTGTGGTTGAGTCCGCCCTGCTCTAAGTGACCCTCTGTGACTGAGGAGAACTGCTGCCTGGGGTCTCCCTGGCGGCCAGTCTATGGGGAAGCAGACCTTCTCATCCTTTCCCCACCGAGAAAGCCGCCGGTTTGCAGGCCAAGCTTAACCACCGTCCCATCAGGGCTTTCCTTTCTGGGGCGCCTGCATTATCAACTAAAGGAGCCTGGTGGCATAAGGGCTCAGTGCTCACCAACCCACAGAAGAGCCGGTGACCGGAACTCACTGGTGGCTGGAAAGGAGAAGAGACCTGGCAGTCTACTTTGTCAAGACCAGGACCTCTGTGGGGCAGCTCTAGTCTGTCCTGCCTGTGCCGTGAGTCAGAATGGACTGGGCAGCACACCCCACTGAGGCCTGCATCCACATTATGCTCCAGGAAAGGTCGGAACGCCCTGTATCTCTGTCTCCCCCCTCTGCCTGGCCTTTTAAGTTCACTCAGAGTGGACTCTAGAGGGAAGGGGAGAGGAAGGGAGGGGAGAGGATGAGAGGGAGAGATAGGGGGGAGAGGGAGGGCGGGGAGAGAGACGGGGAGAGGGAGGGAGAGGGAGAGGGAGAGGAGAGGAGACACGGGAGTTGACTTTTAACAATCTGGATGGTTTCTGCAAAGTTGGCAGCTTGCCATTTCAGAGATACTCTCTCAGAGAATTCTAATTTTATCTGGAACCTTCTACACAATTCCCTGATCCCCACTGAGGTCCAGAGACATGGAAGCCTCATGGGGAGCACAACAGCCTCATCTGAGCCTGCAGGGTCCTGCCTGAGGCAGTCTCATCAGGGCCCCAGCTCCTGCTGTGGGCCCTGGAATTATTTCCCTGCCATGTCTTTCTGATACGCTGGGCTCCCCAGGGATGGCTGATACAGCTGCATGAACGTTTTCCCATGTACTTGGCAGTAGAATGAGACACTGCCTTCAGCCTTCTCCTTTGTCAGAGTCAGGAAGGAGTTTATCAGGGAGGACTTACTTCCCCTTTGTGCCTTGATCCATTTGAAAGAGCATCCAGTTGCTGTCCTGGGTTTGTCCTAGAGCCACACTTGGGAAAACTCGATTCTGTGACATTGAACCCTAGGAGCAATGCTCAGCTTGGCAGGGACACTCTGGGGTTGGCAGCCCCGCGGTGTCCCCAGGCAGCGGGGGCTCATTCCTCTAGCCCCTGGGGAGCATTGGGATTTGCTCTTCTACAATCAAGCTGGTCACAGGTCCTCATCTTGTCCCATAGATAAGGATGAGTATAAAAAGGGGAAATGTGCGTGAGATTATTTTGTGAGTGGTAGGATGTTCAAAGGAAGCACTGAATAAGCTTTGATATTTAAATAAAGGTTAAACCCCACAGATGTGTTTCTGGCCAATGTCTGCTCCTGGCAGCCCCCATCAGAGCTGAGCCTCCTAAGCTGTGCTCCAGGGGGATTTCGTGGGCTGTCATGTTTTGAAAGTAGATCACCATCCAAAGCATCTCCGGGTGGACTAGGGCCTCTACGCATTCATTTAGCAGATGAGCATGCTCCCATTTATATCATCCAATGACTCCTCTATACATGTTAGGGCTATATCAGTAAACCATGTAACTTTACATACAAACTGTGTAGCATTTCTGGATTCTGGGGGCTTCTACAATGGACTCCAATATAACACCAATTGTGGGGATGGCAGTGTCTGGGCAGTGTCTCATTCTGTTGTACTGACACTCAAAAACTCACTGCCATCTAATTGATGCTGACTCACAGAGCTCCTATAGGACAGGGTAGAACAGCCCTGGTGAGTTTCCAAGACTAATTCTTTATAGGAATAGAAAAACCCATAGGGTCCCTAGTTCTGAGCCGACTCTACACACCTAACATCAATAACAACCACAGTGGTTAAGGCATCAGCTGCTAACCAAAAATGGATAGGTTCACCCCACTAGCCACTCGGCAAGAGAAAGAGGTGGCTGCCTAGTTCTAAACATCTACAGCCTTGGAAACCCTATGAGAGGATTCTACTCTGCCCTGTAGGGTTTCTGAGCTGTAATCCACTCAAACAGCTACAGCTATTGATAGTAACAATTTAGAAGTTCCTGTTTGTGATCAATGACTAGCCTAAAGGTTGGTGGTTCAAACCCTTCCAATGGTGCCATGAAAGAAAGGCCTGATGATCTGCTTCCATATAGATCGTTATTAGGTGCCATTGAGTTGGCTCCGACCCATAACAACCCCATGCACAGCAGAAGGAAACCCTGGATGGTCCGGCGCCCTCCTCACAATGGTTCCTGTGCCTGAGCCCATCGATGCAGCCACTGTGTCCATCCATAAAGATTACTGTCAAGAAAATCCTGTGAAGCAGTTCTGCCTATGGCAAATGGGATTTCAATGACAGGAACCAACTCAACACCAATGGATTTTTTGGGCATTTACTAATAACCTCTGGCCTCCTGGACCTGGGGCAGTAAATCCTGTGAATCCTGTAAAGTAAATCCTGTATACAGAGCCACTGACCCACGTAGGTGTTCACTCACCAGCACAAGTAGACAAGGTAATCACAGTATCCACGATCTTGAGGATGACCTCCAAATATGGGGACACTGGCACTAAAGACAGTGCCTTCGGCAATCATTTAATTTCGCCCAAGCACAGAACCTTCTGAGACGATCATTCACGTGGAGGGAAGCCAAGCCTGGAAGTATGTAAATCACTTACAGTTGGTTACACTGCTGCGACTGGGTAGTCTGGTTGATAAACCACCCACTGAGTGATGCACCATCAATTTAAGTACAGCTTTTCTGAGAGAAAGGAAGGACTGCACGATTAATATGCACATCAGCCCTAATGCACCTGCCCCTTTCAGACCATGAACATTTTTAGGGGTGAGGGCAGTGATTCTTCTGATGGGAGAGATGCACGAAGTGATAAACATAAACTTGGGAAATCTCCTGCTTGATTTGACACCAAAATCATGCATTCTCCACTGTGCCACACACTTTCTGGGTCAGTGTTTTGTCTATCCCTTCTGAAGGCTGGCCAGCTGATGTGACAACCTCTTCATTGTCTTTTGGAGGATGAGTATGCCCTTGTCACGCTGAACCCCAGCGGATCCTGATTGTTCCTGAAATGAGTCATAAAGACTTCTACATTGTTCTTGGAATGATCTGTCTTCTCACACTGGCAATACAGCAATCTTATTTAAAAGGAGGTTGGCTTTTTCATCTGTCCCTTTGCTAGGAAATAAGAGGACGTGACAGTCTTTCCTTATGGCCTTGGGCTTCATGCAGTTGTTGCTACCTAATCTTTATCTCTTCTTCTAGTTATTGTTTCCGTGTTCATTGGGTACGACATGTTGTCTATGGTAGTGATCAAATTTTGTAAATTGCCATTTAAATGAATTCAATAAGGAAATCTCTTCTTGCTAAATAAGACAGGCCTCAACTTGCAGGAACAGCACGCTCCTAGAAATAGATAATAAAAGTCCAAGCTGAAAAAGTGAAAACATAAAAGTGCATATTAGAGGGGACCTTCTGTCCCCCGAGGTGCCCCTGGATGGTACAAATAGTTAACAGGCCTGTCTAGTGAACAAAGAGTTGAAGGCTTGAGTTTGCCCAGAGCTATCTCTGAAGAGAAGCCTGGTGATCCATGTTCCCAGAGCTTCAGGTTCCTTCCTTCCCCAAATAAAACTTTACTTTGAGAGACATGGAATACATGCAGGTTTGTTTTTTGTTGTTTGTTTTTTTGGGGGGGGGGCTGTTGTTTATTTGTTTGCTTTTTGCATAGGGGATTTTATAGAGAGGCCCCTGCGAGAGAAAGAGGCTGCTCCAACATGTCATCATGACTGGCTCTCTGGTGCTTCTCTACCTGCCCACCTGTGGAACCAGCTTTATCAAATTTTTACTCAGAAGAGACTCAACAGACTTCCACTGAGGTTAACAAGGGTTTCTGGGAAATGTCATCCCAAGATATTGCGCTGATGCTGTGCATGCTCAGTACAAATCTCCACCTTTGCTCTCATGCCATAGCACAATCTACTTCCCAAAATCCAGCCATTGAAAAGCCTGTGTAGCACGGTTCTACTCTGACATACTTGAGTTCACCATGAGGTAGAGTCTATTATTCAACAGCAACTGGCTTCTGTTCTTAGCAAAAACTGAATAACAGGAAAGTGATCATACACTGAAAATCACTGCATTTATTGTACTCTTAATATGATCTATTATCTGTTTAAATTGTCACCGTCTCTTGACACCTTAGTGTTTTACACTAAGAGATACCTGAGAAGAAGTGGCTAGCAGGATGGAAATTAAATAGGAGCCGTTAGGACCATGGAATGTGTGATTCCAAGACCACGCTAGTTGAGGCCTGAAGTTCGGACCACCAAGTCCTCCACGATGGTCCCTGCCTACCTCTCAAGTCCATTCTTACCCTTTGTTCTAGCTGATCGACTTGCTGCTCCCAGGCCAGCTTTATTTTACAGCAGTGAGCCTCTGCACATGCCCTTCTGTTCA